ACCCATGGTAACACTTCAGCAGCAAAAGAATACATTTGACCTGGACCTGTTCTTGCTCCAGCAATCCATAGTAGAGCCTGGAGAAATCGTCTATCTTCAAAGTTCAAGCTTGCTCGCAGTATCAGATAGGATGGCTCAGGAGATCTAAAGAAAATAAGCCCTGAACTACACTGTTTGGTGATCAGATATTAATGTTTTGTGTTTTGGTTTTGTTGGTTTTTTTTTTTTCCAAAAAGAAGCAGGAAGGTTTGTCCTTGTAATGATGACTAGAGCACAAAATTTGCAGTCTGGTTCATGGAACGGTCCTGAAGCATTACACTGATGTTCAAGAAGTTTGCACCTTACTGTAGCAAGAGCAAAGTTTGAGTCCTGTAGACATTAATAGGTCTCAAACATACTTAACTAGGGAAGACTTCATCCCACTGAAAGTAAAGCATGGGATTAGGAATTTTGCTGAATATGAGCCTCCAAAAAACCTGAATTGTATTGTTGCTCTGGAAGTAATGACCACAGGTATGTTTTTATATCTCCGAAGTAAAAAATACTGCTAATTAAAAAAGACCATTTAGATTACGGTTAAAGAACTCCTAACAGAAGTATTTGCTATGGGCTAATAACAGTTGTAACCCCCTACGTTAACTCTATATGCTAAGATCTGCCTTAAAATGTGCATGGGCAGTTTCCACTGGTGCATGTAAACATAAATTATTGAATAAAGAATAATTGATTTAGAACTGTAAACGATCAGTAGCCTTGCAGAGAAAAGGGACAGCAGTAGACAGATACATTTTAAGTACTAATGACTCTGCCATATGAGAGTAGCTTTACTCTGTATAATGCATGAGTGGTAAAATAGGTCAAACCCTGGAAGCATCCACATGTTTGAAATCATTATGAATACAATGGTTTTACTGCATCACCAATTGCATAAGAGCTCCAAAGCAAAGGCGCATGTGGAATGCAAAACATAATGAAAATCCTTGCTCTTGTGTTGCAGATTAGAAAGCTACTAGAGATTTTGGATCCTTTCCCAAATTTAATACAGTTACTTTCCTGTGGTCAGTGCTTCTATGTTTTCATTTTTGTGTGAGGATTTTACTCCCTTGTTCTTTTTGTACCATTCCTAAGATTTCAGCTGTTTGTCGTATAGAAAATTTGGCATATTAACAATGATAGTCATTTTTATTCAAAGAAAAGTGTGGCCATCCCATTTATATTCTGCTAGAGCTTTCAGGGATGGGGGAAGGCTTCATCCCATGACATCCCATCCCCCACAAACAGAGGAAGCTACTTTGCTGCCTACCTACCACTACAGCTATAGTTATGTCAGTGCTAGGTAATGAAAAGGCTTTGTTATTTAACAGGCAAATAATAGAGAGCCTTTGTGCAGGGATAATTACAGTGGTTTGGATATTCCTGGATTAACTCTTGGGATGAACATTCATCTCAGTAAATCACTAATAAATATACATTAGCACCATGTCTCTCTCTATTTTATACTCTAGTAATTTTGGTCATACTACTCGCAAGTCTATCTGGGGCTGATTATGACATACAGGCTTCAATGCCCTTTGTCCATCTTTGCCGTATGACTGTAGTACAACAGTCAGAACTTCCTATGTTTTACCTCAATCAATTTGTCTTCTGATAAGGCAGCAACAAGGTTGCATAGCTTGCTGGCTGCTGGGAAGAGTAACTGGCAAATATTTGTACAGCACTTCGAAGAAGTAGGACCTGACTTATTGCAGCATTACTTCAGTTTTTAGATCAGTATTAACCATTCAAATGCATGACACTATCATATGAAAAAAAGCAACTGCTGAGAACCAGGCCCACAAAGGACCATGTGCCATTGTTTCTCTCCTTGCACTATTTTCATATCTGTTATTTTTGCCAAGCTACCATTTGTTCAAGCCAGTTCACCATACAAGTCGATGAGCAGTTTCTGAGAACAAGGGAAGGGATGCAGGGTGGTGACAGGTATTGGAGATGCCCAGACAGAGGAGCAGGAGTCACCTTTGCCTGGACCTCTTGCTAGTGTGAAAACACTCAGGCCAAAGACTGGTTTCTATGGAAAGATGAAAAGTCTTGAAATCATATAAGGAACCCTAAATACTAATCACAAAGATGTGCTGCATCTCATACCTTCATAATTTATGTTTGTGGAAATCAACACAAGATTTTGCTGTATTCAGGGCTCCTTCTTTCACAGGATGACCCACAGATACAGGTAATGACATATTTCCCAGTACTGTTGCCCTGGACCTGAGCTCTGACTGAAGAGTTTTTGATGAAAATGAGGAGGCCCAAGGTCCAAATGTTTATCTTATACTTACAAGCAGTATTATTTAAACTAAATTATGCTACCTGACAGCTCTTTTTAGTCAGAGGGCTACAAAACAGCCCTCTTTGAAGAAAAAGTAAGACACAAAAGTTTATAGAGGGGAATGAAGAGTGGGAAAGTACTGCTATTATTATGGCTAAGAGTGATATGAAATTGCTGTGAAAATCGGAAATCCATAATTTTATTGCCAAACCTGGTTTAATCTACAGTAATAGTCATTAACAGTGGAGATGGAAAAAAAGACCTATTAGGTCATTTTACCTATCTTCTTGTTAATTAAGAGTGTCTCCTTACAAGGATTTTGACTGTTTTGTTCATTTTAAAAATAACTAAAGCAATGAGGGTTCAACTGATTTCTTTGGGAGACCATTCAGCAGACTAGCACACCTCACTGCTATGAAATTTTTCCTCATTATCAGCATGGATTTCTCTTTGTTCACTCTCATGCTGTTATTTCTAGTTATACTTGGTTGGACTATTTCTGTATTACATCAAATTCCATCATTTCATCTCACATACGTATTTCTTTCCCAAGGCAGATACCGGGTTAAATCTAAGCTTCAGTCAAGAAACTGGATGTAAGCCCATAGTAGTGATTGGCTATAAGAGGTCCTATTTTTACTACATATTGAGCCCACAAACAAAAATAATTGCTTTTTCAATTCTAAATGGGAAATATGAAAATCAATTTTTTTCTTCAAGGATTCTTTTTTTCCCCCAACTATATGACTGCCTGCTTCTCAAATCCACTCAAGCACTTAAAAAGCAGCTTCCCCTCCAAGAAAACTGAACTGACATTCTGGAGCTGCAAGTCACATCGTAGTTCACATTTAAAGGGAAGGAATGTCTTTTATTTACTACAGGACCAATACCAGACATATCTTTGCTCAAATAGTTAGCTAAAGGTGAATGTGTTCCCTGCAGAAGGTCACAACAGAGTATGTACCACTTAAGTCTCAATTACACTCTATTTATACCTGAAACTTTCCCTAATTGGGAGATTCTGGGAATTTTTCTCCATTTAGCTGTATTTTGGATATTTTACTCTCTCTTGGAGAAGGCATTTGTAGAATTAAACATTATCAATATTGGTGTGAAGTGGACCTCCCAGTGTATAGCAAGACAAAACTGTGTAGGCAGTTAAGTAATATTGTTAACTAATATTATGCACATTGCCCCTCTTTATTTTCACCCATTCTCAGGTACCTAACACCTTTAACATTCAATCCCCTGTAAAAGAAGTAAAAGCTTTCCTGAAAAATCTTTTTTTTTCTCTCAGAGAACAGTGAGTAAAACCCATGAATAAAAATACAAGTTTTCCAAACAAGTGGAAACAAACTGCCAACAAACAACTGAACAAACATATTTCAGAAGCCTAATATTATCTCTAAATTGAGCTAATGAAATTATAAAGATGCTCTGATTTATCCTTTTCTTTGAAACACATTCTCCATAAAAGGGTATTGATCTCACCATACCACCTTCTTTCAAGCTGACAACTTTTCTGAAGAGGGAAAAAAACCAGGACAACATATTCATGCCTGTAGTCACACTCCTAAACCTGTGGCCAGATACCCTAAAGAGAAACTAAAACTTATGCAGAAGATCCAATCATATAATCGTAGAATGTTTGGTTTCAAAGGGACCTTAAAGATCATCTAATTCCAACTCCCCTGCCATGAGCAGGAATACCTTCCTCTAGATCAGGTTGCTCACAGCCCCATCCAACCTGCCCTTGAACACTTCCAAGTATGGGGCATCCACAGCTTCTCTGGGCAACCTGTTCCAGTGCCTCACCATCCTCCAAGTAAAGAATTTCTTCCTAATATCTAATTTGAATCTCTCTTTTAGTTTAAAACTGTTCCCCCTTGTCCTATCACTATCTGCCTGTGTAAAAAGTTGCCTTCCCTCATTTTTGTAAGCCCTCTTTAAGTACTGGAAGGCCACAATGAGGTCTCCTCAGAGCTTTCTTCATTGCTTCTGGTTAGCAAGCCATTGCTTTTATTTTGTTGATAATTTTCAGGGAGGAATAACTGTGTTAAAATACATTTCTAGATCCTTTTTTCCTGTTTCTGGCCAAGTCCTCCCTTCTGTTTTGCAGTTCAGATAAATTAAATACTGATTTATAAACTACAAGCTTATTCTCTTGTCCTCACGAACATAAGGACTGTCTGTTGTTCTTGTGAGAATAAATTCATTCTGCTCAGCTTTCCCTATATATACACATGCTGGGATGAAAGGTTACTGTGAAGTCTCTGGATCTGATCAGCTGCATGGCAGTGTAGAGAATTAGTGGGTTACAGGAGATAAAAATTTAAAGTGAAAATAAAGAAATGCTTAAAACTACATTAAAGCACATGTGCATATCACAGGAAAGTCCAATGTATTGGCATTCTGGAGAATGGTATAGCAAACCTGTAAACTTCCTAGGCTTGTTGTGTATATGCCAGACCCTTGGAATTAGCTAGTGTGGAAAATGTTCTTGTAGTTTCACTTCCTCTGCAAGGTCTTGGGTTACGGTTTTTGTTTGTGGCATTGCCTTTTGAGGGTGTTGGGGTTTTTTTCCCTCTTTAAGCAATGAAAAATGCAAGGGAAAGAAATTTACCAGTTCAAGTTCCTCAAAAAACAGGTTAACTATTCTCCTATACATTCTTACCTTGTGTTTGTCACCATTTCCAAGCTCTGTCTATTACTTCACAAAACTGCTTTATCAGTCTCTCCTGAGAGCAGGGTGGACAGTCTGGGATCTGTTTTAGAATATGTTTAAGTATTGCATACACATTTATGTTGTATCAGTTCATATTTAAAAAAGCAAGTTCAGAGAATGGTGGCAGATTTCACAGTAGACTTTAGATCTTCTAGATACACCCTCTACAGTTCTGGGTTACCAAGAAGGAAAGCTCTGTTACTTATTAACTTAGTGCTTGATGTCCTAAATAACAATGAGCCAGAAGTGCATGCAAGGGTTGCTCTCAATGCAAGGCACTCCATTTCTCAAGGGCCAAATGATGTGTAGCACTTTCTCCAGCCAAGGGACTTGGGAAAGAAAAGCCCAGGTATTGCAGCCCAGACTGTGATGAAGCTTTACCCTTCTTCTACTCTTGTGTGAATGAGAGTAGGGAGCTTTAGAGTATGTTCTTACAGGTATGTTTTTCCTAATATTCACATGTCCCCAATATTCCTTAGGACCTTTTAGGAATCTTTACATCAAAAGATGTGTAGTGGTTGAGGCTGCTGACACACTGGAAAATGCAGGAGGGCTCCTTGGGAACATGATTCTCTCCAGCCTGCAGCACACAAAATTGAGGTAACTTCCTAGCTCTCAGGGAGATTACTTTGAAACTGCATGAAACAAATCATTCCACCAAATAATTTCCACAGTCAAAAGCTGGCAATATTAGTCCATAAATCAAACCTGTATTGCATTCAGTCCCTCTACTCTGCTTTCTCCTTGAAGACAGGCAAGCAAATCCAGGCTTCCTTACTCCAGACAGTAAATACCAGTCATTGCCTTCTAAATTAATTTGAGAAGTCTGTTTGGTTGCAGTTATACCAGGGGATGAAAGTAAAGTTGTTGTGACCATCAGATCCTTCGATTCTGAAAGTACAGTCAAGTCAAATATTTAGATTTGTTTCTAGTGTCTGCTGTTTCTGGTAAGCACTAATGTTTTCAAGAAGTCCCATAGATAGACTTGGCAGTCTTCCTTTCACTCCAGAAAGGAAGATGTGTCATCACTTACACCCTAAAACACAGAGGTTCACAGGAGCAATGGAAACTGACCTTTGCAACAATGTTGTTGATGTAAGTCAACATTATATATAGATTTATATAACGTCTTGACCAAATCTATACAAGCACTACTACAGTTTCAGTTTTTCGACAATAGATTAGGACAGTAATAACAAAATAATTAACTTCATAAAACACTACAGTATGTTCTTAGCAAGATTCTAACAAAATCTGGTGAAATACCAAAGCAATCAGTCTTATTTTATCTTTGGGCAAACTAGCGGGTTAGGTGGCTTGAATTTACTGTAAGAAAGTCTTGTCTTACTAACTGTATCTGACCAGGCCTTTCTCCCAGCATTGCTCGCTGCAGGGCAGCTCCAGCAAAAGTGCCGGTAGTTCCCAATGCAAACTGGTAGAGACCAGTTCACAGCAGGTTCCAGGACACTGTTTTGTCTAAAACTACTCAGCCATTCCATGCAGCAAAACAGCTACTATCTCAGACCTCCTGCTTTTGCTGTGACCAGGGGGGCTGCATTGCTCTTAGCAATGGGGATAGATAGGGACAATTTTCAGGAAAAATTAAAAAAGAAAGAAAAAAAAATGGGAAAACCCTAATGAAGGCAAGGGTATGGAAGCGAAAGTTCAAACCAAGCACCTCCAAAGCCCTATTGCTAATTTCAGAATTCTTTAAACCTGTGAATAAAAGCATGAATTCAAATTAATCAATTGTCTTTTAAAGTCGCTGAGGTAGCACTCTATTACCTGTGCCTTTAGAGTGCATCTCAGATGTGTCATTCAGGCTTCTGAAGACAAGAAAGATACAAATGAATCACCTTGTTACAAATTAATCACCCTGGGATTAGGGCTAAAAATTTCAAAAGCACCTTAAAATGACTTAGAAATCTAATTCCCGTTTTCAGAATTCACTTAGGCAGTTACATCCTGACTCTAGTCAAAAGTCAATGGGATGATAACTCCTAAGTCACTCTAATACATCCGAAAATGTTACCTGCTTCTATATGTAACACAACAAGCCCCTCTGTATTCGCATTTGCCCTTCAGTGAGTGTCCCAGGCTTCTGCTTTTTCATCCCTGATTTCAGTCCACATTTACCATATGTTGCGCTTTCATTTTCATTAAACATTTTGAAAGATGGAGGTTTCAAACAGTGAGCTACTCATTCATTCATCTTTCCACACAGAAACCTAGCATCAGTAAAACAGCAGTTTCAGACATTATTTTTAACTAATGAGAAATGAAATGTTTTTCCTGACATTGACAGCAAAATCCATGCACCTATTTGTATATTTTACATAATGATACAGCATGTGCTACTGTCATATCTCAGACTAAGCATACATTTTGGTCTTCTCCCAGTTATATGCCTTTTTCATAAGTTAATGGGTAATCATAGGATAGACAAAGTTTCATTTGAGTCCTAAGGGGGTAAAGCAGTAGTTGAGCTATCTGGATGGTACTGCTCTTCCATTGACCAGATTATGATAAAGTCCCTTTTCTTCCTTGGGGCATTGGAAAAATCTTTTAATTCTCCATGTCTGTTCCCCTCCACCCTATGTCTGTCTTGTCCATTGTATCTGCAACATTATGTTGGCAGCACTTCTCTCATAAATGTCTGATTCCACTATGGCACAAACTATAAGAAATAAAGGAATACTCATGTCTAGACTACACCTATTCAAAGCATATATAAACATAATATGTTGCTTTCTGGTATAAAAAAAGACGAACTTCATAGTGCTAGTGAATGGCCAGCTAGAAAAGGGAATTAAGATAGGGCAGAGAGGCAGAAAACAAAAGCAAAAATCACATTCAGATCTGAAGGAAAATTATATTCAGCAGTTACCCTGGCTTTCAGCTCAAGATTTCCCTTCCCTTCACCCACCCCCCACACCCTTTTTTTTATTGTTTACTTTTTAGTTCTTTTGCCCAAGACTCTGTAGTTTTCAGTCTTTTGTCATCTTCCCTAGACAAAAGCACAGGACTTGGGGAAAAGGATTAGGGAAAGGGAAATTCCTATCCTGACATTTATTTCTTCAGTGACCTTGACAAAGTCACTTAATTTATTGTTTCCCTTACTGTAACAAAATGGACAGGAATAAAAATGAAGTCTTTTTCTAACAGTCACAACTGCTTTGTGATCCAATCCTGTCTGCTGAGTCTGCTCTAAAACCCCAGATTAAGTTAGTACAGATTCAAGCTGCAATTGTTATCAGTAATGCCTCGCCTCTCCTCTAGACACACTTTCTGCAGCAGTCAATACCTGTTCAGCAGCCGGTCATGGTGGGAGAATAGGAATCGCCAGAATAAATGCTGTGCCCTTTCTCCCAAGCCTGTTGCATCTCAATAAACTTTGCAGTGTGTCCAGCAAAGGAGGAATTCAAAAGGGTGGTCCTAAATCAGGACTCTGAAGGGCTTTGCATTCAGAATAAGACACTATGGGAGTATCATGATGACAGCTGCACTTACATCACTGAAAATAATTATTCTGATCCATGAACACAAGCTAAGCCGTAAGAATGGTCTTGTAAGCAAGGTCTGTTTTAATAGAAACATAAGTATTATGCATTACAGTCTATTATAAATTGGTTGTAATTTTCTCCTGACACTCTGTGAATTAAACTAGTTAGGATACAAAAAAAAATAACAAATGCCACAAAGCAGAAAGCAAGCTCAGTGTCTGAAGGTTAATGATTGCTCATGAAAGCTACAGAAATAAATTATCTGCCTAGGGACACTGTCACATGATCGGCACAAAAGCTGCAACAGCCGAAAATGTTTATGTAGAGAAAAAAACACTGTCAGCATCACAGCGCCCTTCCCCCACCGCCGGAGCACAGTCCCGAGCCAAACAGCTGCTCCTGACTGCTTACATTAAACTAATTTGTGCTGCAACATTGCAGCTGCTTAATTTTTAGACTGAACTTTATCACCAAGAAGTGTTACAATAACAAGTGATGCAGCCCTGTCTCTGAAGAAATAGCAAGTTCCTCAACAACAAAGGCAGCTTAAGGTGCTGAAATTCAAGAAAGCAAGAAGGCCATGACCAAAAGAGTATTTTAAATCTTAATGACCTACTCTTACTGGGAAAGTAAAAAATAGGTTTGCTTCTAAATTAATTGGGGGATCAGACTGTGCCCCTAAGTGGACGCGGACACCTCAATATCAGGGATCAGTGACCAAGAACCATGCCATAGGCTTATGGAGCAGGAAGGTTGGAAGCAAGGTGAGGTATTGGGGCTTCCAAGGATCACCCACCCTTCCCAGGTGGCCTCCCCTGCACTTGGTGTTGTGAGATTGCACTGCAGAGCCCCATCACTTGCACCACCTTCCCTGCAGCCTTGCCCCTTCTCTTCTCCAAGCCCCCACTGGTTTGGGGGTTGGTGTCCTGTAGCACTTCTTGCATGTCTTTCTGGCCACAGGTTCACTGGTGTCTCCTCAAAACATTTATTGCACTCAACATTTAAAATGCACAAGTTTAAAAAAAAAAGGGAAAAACCCTAGCGGATTCATATCCCAACAGCTTGAAAGCCCTGACCTCCTCCTCACCCCTCCCACTGCCTCCCCCCGCCCCAATCCCAATCCGAAAAAATGCATTCGAAGGCAGTGGCATCAGAGGAAGTGTTTACAGAGAGTGCTGCGCCTTGGGTAACGCAAGTGCTGCACTTACAAAATGTCACATGTTGTTCCTCCCCTTTTCCTCTGAATTATTTTCCTCTGTTAACATGCAGGGCTTCGTCTTCTGCTGAAACAGACACTGACCTGAACTGGTGGTGATTCCTGCCAAATATGCAGGCACTGTTTTGCTACATTTTGGAATTCGGCGAAGTCCATGTGTCAGGCATTTGCTTGTGCTCAGGAAACGCCAGTGCTCAGTCCAAAGCCCTCCCCGCCCCCTCCCGCCCCCAATGCTTGGAATGCACAGAAACTTTTCAGTTTTTAATTAGTTTTAATATGATTAATGTTTTTAGCTGCATATCTTGTTACATCCAGTATGCTTGTTAAAAAAAAAAAAAAAAAGGACCGTTTAAATGTACTGGTCTTAGTTATTAAGAAAACAAATGGAGACAGGGAAAAGAAAACCCACCGAGAGAGCAATTATACAGTTAAACAAAAAAGCTGTAGTTGCTCGCAGTGGTAACCGGGTTGCAGATAGACTGTTGTTTGCCTGTCTGCCCGTCTGTGCTTGGGGAGGAAAAGAGGCATAGGGAATTGGTAATGCAAAAAAAAGGGGTGCTCCAACTGTACACCCCACCTTTCCCAGTCTTCCGAAGACCAGCTAGAAAGAGGAGATGCTAAATGAAATTATGACTCCTTTCTGTTCAATTTAAAAGCATTAAAAAAATGCATAATCCCTTGGTGGGATGGGGGTTGGGGGGAGGGAAGAGGGAGAAGGGGGGAATGGCTCTTTGGTTTTTATCAAAATAACATTAGTCAGACTTTTACCCAACAGCAGGAGCTGATGGTATCTGGAGTCCATTTTATTCCACCCCAAATGTGTAAGAATAGGGGTGACTGGATAAACAGGCCCCAGGGGCTTTTGCCTGCTATTCATGGAGCAAAGCTGCAAATGGAAAAAATATTTTAAAAAGAAAAAATTGGGGTAAAGGAAAGAATAGCAAAGTCCCTTGCTCCCTTATCAGATCTTCCTCTCAAGTTTGGCCTTTAAACCTGTAAAACTTTATGTATTTCTTAAAAGAACACCTCTGAAAGAAAAATGTGAGGGATAAGACCCAGCTACAAAACTGGAACTCTCATCTGTACAACACAGACAAGCAGTGTGAGGGAATAACTGCAAGGAAAGAAAGTGTTAAGGAGTGGTTTGAATCAGGAGTTTTAGGGAAAACAGGGATATTGGAAAAGGAGGCTACCTCAGGTCCAGGAGGCCTATGGCAGAATACAGAAGTACTAGAAAACAAAAGGAGGAATCAAAAGGAAGAAGCAGCACACTCAAAAGAATATAGGTAGAGACTGACTTATTAAATAGGATTCTCTTAAGTGAAGGAGCTTAAATATGCAGTGGGATTAAAAGCAAATATGGGGATTTAAGGATAACTTGCAGAAAATTTGAACTTTCTCTGAAATTTCAGAGTCAAGAATATCAGATAAAAAAAAAACCACTCCACATAAAGCTATTAAAAATGGTCCTTTTTATAAAACTCACACTGAGCACAGCCTCCTTGTGCAGTGCCAGGAGGATGAGGAAACAGGCACAGGCAAGAGGTTCACCTCCTCCAGTGAGGCGGGCCCACAGGCAGTCAGCTCTGCACTCTCTCGCCCATATCCATGCCAAGTGCCTCAACCAGTTCATTATTCCAGCGGAAAGGGCGATGTTCTCCTGCCACCCAAATTCTCTCCTATTACCTGAAAACATTCCCAGACAGATCCAGATGAAACTAAGTCTATAAAAATATTTGGTTTCACTGAATCAACATTTTCCAATATTCTTCAGGAAAATCCCAGTCCAGCATAATATTCATGAGAACAATTAATAACTCAGTCAGGTCATCTACACAGCCTGAGCACATGTACACATTTGTATGATTCACTTATGATTATACAGACTGGCCTCTAATTCTTTCCTTTACCCTTTTTCCTCCAGACACATTTGCACACTGACAAATCATTTTCTTTTTAAATCAATCGGCCAGGAAAAATGTTTCCTCCATCTGCAGAAATTCCTACACTCACCATTCAATAAATTTATCCAGCTGTCCTTGTAGAGTGACATGGCAAAATAGCACGTTCAGTAAGAGCCGTGTGACAACCTAACTGTGTAAAAAAATACCTATAACATGGATATCTGACGTCTGCATATTAATCCTGCTCTCTGGGACTTATTTTAATATTTCAGGGTCATAAGGAGTTCCAAAAATCTTTGATTTTATTCCTCCACAAATTACTTCTAAGGACAAAGGCAGACAAAGTCTCTATCAGAGAAATTTTGTATTAATAAAAATCATAACTTAAAGCCTGAAATTTTTCCAGCTTTGTAAAGCAGAAAAGGTAACTGAAAGGAAAAACTCCTTCTTTCCCAACAGGTCCTAGGGATTGCATCTAGCTCTTAAAACTCCTTGAAATATCAAATTTCAAACTCCCAATACTTTTTTATGGCTGCCTCAAAGGCCTGGGATAGATATACCGGTGGAAAGTACCAGAGTTTACAAGCAGAAAGTAAAAGGTTTTTTTCAATTTTTTAAATATAACTGCTTTGATAATATTTTTTTCTGTTGGCACAATACATGCATCATATTTCATGTACAAAGTGCAATGATACAGGGTACTATTCATAACAGTAAGAGATGACCCACTATATTTTAATCATTAATAATGTGGCTGTCCCAAATTCACTCCAAAAAAAACACCTATTATGACATAATGTATTCTCTTTATGTATGTATAGAATAAATATACAACTGTACTCTTCACTGTCTAAAACTTAATTTCCATTTAGCTCCTGCACAAAATGTACCACCTTTATTTCTAGCAAGAATATATGCCTTATTATTTCTAATCATAACATAAGCTGAAGTAGTTAATAAGGTATGCAGTAATTTCTATTTCAGAACATTAATGTTCATAGTTACAATACTCACATGTATTGTTATCACAACATGTTATTGGCATGTGTTTTTTTCAAAGACAAAATAAGAACTAATGCATATGAAGAACTAACGCTGTACACCTCTTGTTTTATGCAGTGCTGAATTTCAGCCATAAGTTTTGCGTTCAAGCTACTTCAAAATGTTTAGGAATAAGGACATATTAGGATTTTGACCAGCTCTTGGCTTTTGTTCTTTCTCTCTTGAAAGAGAGAATAAAATTCTCTATACCTAACCCCTTGGAGTCAGCTGGAGACTTTCAGCCACAGCTAAGCTTCTCTAGCAGAAGTAGGTTTGCTTAATAGTCGTGAATATTTCCTGGGTCATTAATGCAATATATAAGTTTAGGGGGAGGATAGCTCACATTGCTTGTTCCATCAGTATCTCCCTACCTAAGTCAGGTCCGTTCCCTGAGGCAGACCATATGGGACAAATGCAGGTCTAGTCAACTCATTCCCATTGCAGGAAAGATGTTTAGGTCTAGATCCTTCCCTCTGTGTTTCTGCACTTCACCTAAGCTTATTTTCACAAGCTGCATAATTATGCAGCTCTTGTATCTGTCCTCTGTAATCAATGGAGAAAGACAAATTGCTTCAGTGTGCAACCCAGCCCACATCAACCAGACTTACAATCTTTCTAGATTTCTCTGTCTCTCTCCCTTGACTGCAGAGAAAATCTAAAAAAAACTAAGCTCTGATCTTTGGCAACTTAGTTAAGTACCTAAATTTACATAGATCTAATCTTTCCCTCTAAGTAAATTTCATTGTAAAGAAAGCTTTGATGAAAAATGGAAATGAACTTTTATGAGAATTTTGTTATAATTTTGTTCCTTTTATCCAGATCTAATTAAAACCAATAACTTCATCTTTAGTCAGAAGCTTTGAGCTGTCAGCAACAAAATGTCACAGGACTTCCTTAAGAACCCAGTGCAATAAATCAAGCAGCCTTGCTAAGCTCAGTTTTGAGAACTCAAGGTAGTGCTTGTTGAAGGAACATTTCCGTGGCCTATTCAGAAGGTAAAAAGGTGTTTCAAGGTGGGGATTGGAAGTAAACAGGCCTATTTGCCTTATCAGCAGGAAAAACACAAATGAGGGGACATGTGCCACAGCAGTTTTCTGACTAGCCAGAACTAGGCAAGGTGTCTATCAAGCACTGTCCACCAAGGACTATAATTTCTCCCTTCATCAAGCAGCTTATTTTATGCATATGTTGGAGATGAGGGATTTCTAAAGAGATTCTTAAAATACACCTGTAGAAAGTGCACTGAAGTATAGCACCCAACAATGCCCTTTGGGACCATCCAGAAAGAAAGAAAAAGTACCTCAGGGCAACCATTTCCACATTTGCTTTGTGCTAGGGTGGTTCAGCTGGGTGAACCATGTAAAGCTATGCCTGAAAGAATAGTTGTTGAACAGGCCATTTATCCATACTCTGTCAATAACCTCCAGCTCCAAAACTGAAAATGAGACACGCTTGGGCAGCTGGCAAGATTGTCAGAGTTGTGCCATCGATTCTGGAGAAACACAAGCCCCACATCATTGCCTCTGCAGCTGACAAAATACCTCTTCCTAGCAGTCCTTCACAGAGCATTATTAACTGCCTAAGTAATGTAGTGAATCAGCAGTGGGTTTCACTAGACAGAAAAGACAAAGGTCCAAACTGATGGTGCCCTGCAAATGGTCACAGTAAGGCCAGAAACCTCAGAGACAACTAATGACCAAAAGTGGAGTGATGACACTGGATGTGATTTCTGAGATAGCTGTATGTTAATGCTCTATGCCACTCTGAATGTAGTAATTGAAAATTACTAATTGCAGAGATGAACTGTCAGATATTTTCAAAGGGTTTTTTCATCACAGAAGACCGTGGTTTCTATAGAAAGACAGCTTTAGACACATGAAAATTTCTTTGCTGAAGGGTACCTCTGATTCAAAAGGGAGGGGATGATTCAAAACAAGGACGGGGATATTTTAATAAAACAAAGAATATTTATCATATATGTGAGATTGCAATCGACAAAAATATAACTTTAGAATAATTTCAAGACAGGAAACCTACTAAACCCTCCACATTTTATATTTCTCAAATAAGTGGCTATGGTTTGGGGTGGGGGCATAATAAGGACATGAAGCATAAACAACAAAGTGAATAAGAAAAATGAGATCTCTCTCTGTCTAAAAATCCAGCAGATCACAATGAATCTTTAAAACAAAGAGTACAAAAAGAGGAAATTAACTTCAGAACAGTCTCACACTGAATCTAATCACTGTTT